AAAAAATCGCAGTATATCGCCTTGCTTATAGTATCGCAATATATCGGGATATATCGTATCGTGACCCCTCTGTCATGATATGTATCGTATCGCCAAATTCTTTCCAATACACAGTCCTAGTTTCAAGTATAATTCTCAAACTTGTCCAAGTGGTCTGAAAAGTTTGATTTCAAAGAAAYGTTGTGTACAGCATAATCTTACTGACTAGCCACATTTAAATGGACATAAGTAATCGAGCTAAACAGTCAAATAGGATAAAATGTGTCATGTAAACGCAGCAATCTGAGTATTATGGAAGTAGAACCTCTTCTTCTGTTTTTTTTCCTTTTTTAGGGAATGTTTACAACTCTGCACATCAGCTCATCATGACTGGCTTAATTAATTTTGTGCCCATACAAACGATACATTCAGATTATATAATTTTAATCCGATCAAAGAGTTGTGTGCATGTAAACATGGCTCTAATAGATAACCCAGAGTTTCGTGCAAGAAAAAATATGAATGAATTATTATTCATTGTGCGCACAGGCTTGAAAGCATGAGAAGTGACAACTTTTTATTTCCAGGTACAAGTTGGGGTCTTTGGAGGAAAAACAAAAAAGGTTGGCCACCACTAAACTAAAAGACGAGAGAACCAATTATATAAAAGAACTGATGTAACAGCAAATCAGCCCAAAGGATTGAGCTATATCTGCTTGGTGCAGGTCAGTAAAATGAAGAGCATCGATTCAGTTCAAGAATAAGTGCGGCTATGGTGCAGGTTGTGTTTAACACGCTCTTCTATCAAGCTTTCCATCAAACTGGAGCATCTATAGAAATGGAAATGAAAGACCCCTAACAGACACGTCACATAAGGTCACAGCTGTGTTTAGGCACCTGCCTGCTTTCACCCCCTGCCCCCCAACCCCCTCAGCCTGTGAACATAATTAGAAGAGTAAGCACTTGTGAGGTTTAGGAAACTCTGCTGCCGTGTTTGAAATTTCCATATAAATTGTTACGGTGACTCAGAGTCTCTTAACCCCGCTACAGTTTGTTTGAAAACAGTGAATTGGATAATTGACTAGACCTTGGGATTGAGTGTGCTAGACGGTTTAATTTATTTACATTTTCCCCCCTTCTTTCTTCTTTAACATTGTGGCTAAATGAGTCTGTTTACCGTGATCGCTGTAATGGGATTGTCCATCTGCTCGATGCAGGTACTGGTAAAGTTCTGGTCCTCTTTGGTCACTCGTACGTGCCAGTTCTTGTTGTGAGCCGACACCGTTCCTCTCCAGGGTTTTACATCCATGCAGAAAATCCCTTGGCCTTGACAAATAAATAAATAACAAACATAAGGAAAACATGCAGACGCTTATGCAACTCGAGTTATACCACAGGTTTTATATTAATTAATTCTAAAGGCATCATGCAACAAAATAAAGTGCTGTGAAGTCACACAGGTAGGTTGCAACTTAAATATTTAGCTAGCCATCTAAATATTTAACTTAAACGTTTAGCTATCTACCTAAATATTTAGGTTGCAACTTCAATATTTAGCTAGCAAGTTAAACATTTAGCTATCTACCTAAATATTTAGGTTGCAACTTAAATATTTAGCTAGCAATTTAAATATTTAGCTAACAACCTAAATATTTAACTTAAATATTTAGCTTGCAATCTAAATATTTAACTTGCAACCTAAATATTTAGCTAGCTACCTAAATATTTAACTTCTTAGCTAAATATTTAACTTGCTAGCTAAATATTTAAGTTGCAAGCTAAATATTTAAGTTGCAAGCTAAAT